CGCCGCTTGTCTGTGCTGGCGCTGGTCGGACTTGTCACCCGGGACTAGGCTGGGCTTTTCTCATCGTATTTCACGTCTGTCATATTGCCTGGGAAACTTCCTCAGCCCAGTAGAACTTTGAGCAAAAAGAGGAGGCGAAAAAAAAAAAAAGCACTATTTCCTTTACATTTCCTTTAGTATTGCAGCTACTGGGAAACAGAGGTTCCTCTTAAAATATAATTGCAGCATCACTGCTTTAGAGGAAGCGAGACCTGGAACATAGGACCGCAGGGAAAGCACTTAATCTCTACTCCTTTTGTGTAATGTGAGAAAAGACTAGGCTTTTCTGTGCCGTAGAACTCTCCAGTGGGATATTTAATGCCTTTTAAAGTATTCTGAGGCTTTTCAGAGAGATCTTAAGTGCAAATTGGTCCTGCTGTAAAGCTCTAATCCGGTGAATTGAAAATGAGTTTGGATATTTGAGGAGACTACTCTGCCGATTTTTTGGTAATTTTCTGTACTAAACGCAAATGCAACTATATCGGTGCTGAACGTGATTTATCTGAAATTTGTGTGTATTCCCCCCCTACCTGGTGCTTCTGATGTTCGTTTCTGAAACTTGTGTATGCTTTCTGCTATCTTTGCTTTGACTGACCTTGTTCAGTGGAATCCTTTGTTTTATTGGTACTTCCAAATCTTGCGTAACATCTGCCAGTGCTATAGAAATACATAATGTAGTTAGGGTTTTGGATGGCTATCTTGCTTTCTGTTTGTTTTCTTCTTTTTAGAACTAAGAGACTGAGATTAACCCTTTTTTTCCCCTCTCCTTCTAATTCAACAGATGCAGTTTATGTTGCTTTTTAGTCGCCAGGGGAAACTAAGACTCCAGAAGTGGTATGTCCCATTATCTGACAAAGAAAAGAAGAAAATCACAAGAGAACTTGTTCAAACAGTATTAGCCCGCAAACCGAAAATGTGCAGCTTCCTGGAATGGAGAGACCTGAAGATTGTCTACAAAAGGTTGTTCTGTCTTGCTAACCTCGTAATTGCTATTCATCACAAACAGTGTAATAAGTAGCAAGAAAATAATGAAGGTTGATTTTTTTCTTGTTGGTTTTTTTTTTTGTACTTCCCTCTGCCGATTATGGAGAAGACTGACTTTTCCCTTGAATCTAATTTGATAACCAAGTGGGAATCATTCATGTGTGGAAAATCACTCATGCATTTAGAAATGTGCTGAAGAAGAGAAATGAGGTTTCCTTCTGTTTTCATAAGGAGTGTTGGTTCTTGGTTCTCTGTTTAGATTCATACAGTACAAATATGAAGCATGTAAGATTTAATAAATGATAGAGAAAACCTAAATTTTATAAACATTTACCTCAGGCAGTGACTTTACAAATCACCTGAAACTGTAACTTGCTTTTAAAGACTTACAGAAATAAGGAAATATTTTTTTCAGAGTACCTAGTTTACGTGGTTTTTTGTTGTATTTTTTTATAATTTTTTTTTGCTCTGAATACAAAAAGCATGTCTCTTAATTGAAGAAGCCATGGCTAGTTTTCTTTTGGTGGAAGTAGTATACAGTTTGCTTTGCAATAGTTTAATTTCTCAGTTGTTGACTAACTTTTCTAGCCGTATCTGGCAAGCATTTTTTAGCTTTGTGCTGATCTTTATAATGTATTACAAAGTTCATGTGTGAACTTAAATTTCTCCACAAAAACCAGTAGTCCTCATTGGGGTTTGGTAAGCTGCATCCTTCCAGCTAAAGATTGTGCAGACTTGAGTCATTTCCCTTCTCTAGTTAGTTATAAACTTCAGAAGTTTTGTGCATTCTTATTTTATCTTCTAGATGGTAAATAATTTGGGCCCTACAGGTAACAGTGTTGTATTCTCTCTGTAGGTAGGACAGAGAGAACTGAAATGAAGAGTTTGTAACTCTTTCCAAGAGTATCAAATGGGTAGAATCAGAAAGGTTTAGGTGTTTCAAGTCCTGGTTTCGTATATATGTGTATGTGTGTGTGTGTGTGTATATACACACATATATCTGTCTCATACATCTGTGTGTGTAACATCACACGCATGAATGTTACCGTCTAATGCAGGTAGTTCTTTAACGTAAGGAGGAGGAACAACACGTAAGGCTGTGCTTGAAGGAAGCATACATGTTTTCTTCTGCCTCTCAATTTCCTCATGTAACTTCTCGTGCATGCATGTAGAGAAGCTTGCTCAACTGCTTTGTGTGTTCTCATAAGTGATAACGCCTGCAAGTGCTCTTTCAGTAAGGATTTTACGGGACTAGATCAGGGAAGCTAGGCATGAACAGGCCAGCCTGTTCCTTTCCTTGTGCAGTCTTGAACAGCAGTAGCTGTTATGGCAGTGTGTTGATTCCACACAGCTGCTTTCTCTCCCTGCCTGTTAATTACTTTTTATAAATACTTATATCCTTTCCTATCAAGGGAGCTTGTTGAAATTTGAGTGTGTGAGTTGCTGACCGATGTGGTGTTCATGCATCTCAGTAGTGGGCTGTGGGTCCTGCAGTCAAGGAGAATGAAGAAATTTCCTGGGAGATGTATCTAGACACTTTTGGGGCAGATGTAGACTGCAGTCCATCTGCTAGACTGCTGGTGTGCACAGCTGACTGCAGTAGCATATTTCACTGCAAACCCATCTGGCACAGTTAGCCTATGAAATCTTGCTGAAGACTACCTTGTACCAACCTAGTGAACATCTCAAGTCTTGTTTTATTTTCTTTTTTTTGGCTAAAACATCCATAGAAGGACTCGGTATGAGAAGTAATAGTTGAAATTCCCTTATGTGGTAACATTAACAGCTTTTGAGTTTATGTGACTTTTTACAATAATCACACTGTGATTAAAGTTGATGAGTACCCGCTAGTATGATTTCTTTGAAAAGGGGCATCTGTTACAGCTTAAAAGTAGATAATCCAAAGAAGACAACTGTAAGTCAAAGTCTAATACCTTCTGAAAGCTGAGTGGCTAAAAGAGAAACACACCTGCAGGAACTTTTTTGTGGTTTATGAAATTGCAAAAGGTATTCCCAATTGCTCTCAGACAAAAGACTCTTAGCACCTCTGCTAAGATCTCCTCTTGTCTGATCTATTACTGGGAAAGATCTGAACCTCCTAGCGCAAACTATTTTCAATATAAGCTGTAAAAGTATGTGCATAGTGCTATTGTACATGTTGCGTGTACATATTGCTATTATGAGTCTTAAATTGCTGAAATTGATGTGCTATTCTGGTTTATATACTATATTTACTGTCAACATATAAGAGAGAATTTACCTAGATATTGCATCTTTTCGGTTGGCATTATGAGAAGTATACTCAAGGGTCTCAATTGATGTACCTTTTTTGCAAGAATTGAATGGACGCAAATGCAAAATTGGCAAGCCAGTGGTTTTTGTTGTCTTCTGATACTTAACATTTATGAAGAAAGGTTTGCTATTTTGCTTAGCTTCCTTAGCGCTGTAGCATTTCACCCTTACAGGATGCTTTCTGAATGAAACTTGAAGAAAATATGGCTAAATGTTCTAAAGTCCTTCAGAATGTCTATAACTAACTCCTTATTTTCCTTGGTTTCATATGTGATAATAGCATTGATAAAAGCATTGATAATAGTTGCAAAGCAGGGTCAATTGTTGCCAGCTTAGTTTTTTTTCTTTGGCGCTATGAAACACAGATAGAAAGGTGCCCTGCTTCTGACATGGTTCACGAATTGGGATTTATGTGTTCTCTAGCTGAAGAGAATTTTTCAACCAGAAGATTGAAAAAGGATGTGAGCTACTAACTTGGAGACAGAAATTTGAAATGACTTGCTGGCAAAAAAATAATAATTCAAATATGGGAAGCCAACAACAGTTGCACTTTATGAGGATGGAGAGGAAGGGAGTCATCTGCAGACAGCTGTTAGACCTTGGAGTCCAAGTGGACAGTAAGTTGTCCATGGGACAGCAACGTGCCCTTGTGGCCAGGAGGGATCCCCCTGGGGTGCATTAAGAAAAGTGTGTCGAGCAGGTCTGGGGAGGTTCTCCTCCCCCACTGCTCTGCCCTGGTGAGACCACACCTCGAAAACCTTGGGCTCACCAGTTCAAGAAAGACAGGGACCTACTGGAGAAAGTCCAATGGAGAGCTACGAGGATGATGAAGGGACTTGAACATCTTTCCTATGAAGAGAGACTGAGAGAACTGGAGCTGTTCAGTGTTGAAAAGAGAAGTCTGAGAGGGGATCTTATTAATGTGTACAAATATCTGAGGGATGGATGTCAAGAGGAAGGTATTAGTCTCTTTTTGGTGGTGCCTGGTAATGGGACAAGGAACAATGCGTATAAGAACATAGAAAGTTCCACCTTAACATGAGGAGAAACTTCTTTACTGTGAGGGTGACAGAGCCCTGGCACAGGCTGCCCAGAGAGGTTGTGGAGTCTCCTTCTCTGGAGACTTTCAAAACCCGGCTGGATGCGTTCCTGTGTGGCTGCCCTAGGGGATCCTGCTCTGGCAGAGGGGTTGGACTAGATGATATCTAGAGGTCCCTTCCAACGTCGAACATTCTGTGGTTCTATGCTTCTGTGATTGCAAGAAATAGAATTAAGGATTGCTCTTTGTTTTGTTGTTTTAAAAAAGTAACTGCAGTGCTCTTGGGGCATATAGGGTAGAAGTTCATGCAGCTTTCCCCTTATGGCAGAGAAATCCCTTAAATGTTAGTATTTACTAAAAAAGGAACTTGAAGATGTTATTTTTCTTTCTTTGAAGATGTCAGCTGTTAACTATTTTAGTTTCTGACAGCATGAAGTTTTTTGTTGTGTAATATATTGCAGTCAAAATTGGAAATTGAAGAATAACCAATTTTTATAGAAATTTCACTCTTTTTAGCATTAGTTAACTGAGATCATGGGACTTGGTTATTGTTGATTGGTAATTTGATTAAGGATTGTGGCTCTGCTTTTATTTTTCCGTTTGGAACTGTATTTGCAGTTTAAAGTTAAAAAACTGTCAACTTGTGCTGCCCTTTAATGTTGTGGCAATTGTCTTTTACTTAAAATAACCATAATAATAGGTTGTATATTAAAGAATTAAGGAAAAATAAGTTGTAGAATGTTTTGGTTTCTTTTTTACCCGCTCCCTTCTGAAAGAGACAATGAAAGAATTCTGCAAGTAGGGTGCCTCAGGTCAAAGTATGGCATGATCTCCATCTTTCTTACATACGTTGTAGCTGCCAGTTGTTGATTATGGTTACTATGGTGTTGATTAGATGGCTCTGTAAAATTGATGGAATGCAGTGATTATAATGAATTACTTGAGTTTGATTATTTTAACTTCATCAGGTCGTCTTTGTAGAGGATTCTAGTTCATGTGGCACTAGGAGGACTTTAGCATCAAGAAGCACCAGCTTTTTCTTAGAGGATTAGCAGTACTAAGCTTTTGTTTGTTTTTAAAACTATGGAGGGTGGGCAAGGAGACCATGTATAGTGTTGCTGAAATGAGAAACTGTAAAAGAAATGCTTATCCTGTGCAGTGGTGGTGTTGATTTCTATATCAGTTACTGGATAGTGACTGATTTGCCTGCCCTAGAGTCTCAGAACTTGTTTTATTAAGGCAACCAGTAAATTTTTTGGAGGAAAAAAAAAAAAGTCTCTTATCAGCCACAACCTTTTAGCGGTCCCAGTTTTCATTAGGTCAGCTATCACCAAACCACAAATTCTTTGGCTTTCATAAGCACCTGTCTGCCTTTTAAAGGCAACTTGGCTATCACTGGCAGTTCATCTCTGCTTCTGCCCAACTCTTTAAGTTTAAACTTCTGCAGTTAGGATCTACATGCCAAGTGACTTTGATGTTGACAGACTTACAGCTTTCTTGCAGGTTTTCCAGGTGACAAACTTCCAGGGATGACTTGAGCAGGTGTTCTCTCATCTGGTAGAACACCACTGAACTGGTAGGATTTGCAAGCTTATGCTCAGTCCACAGTGACCTGATCTCCCAAGCAGAGTTACTCAACCTGGCGGTGAGCAGGGAGTAGCAGGGAGTACTACTGAAGCCATGCCTGCCAGTTGCGATGCTTCCTGCTACTGAAATGCTGTAGCTATTGAGGGAGCAGTGTATTGAATTTGTTTCCTATCACAAAAGAAAACAAACGATAAGGTAATCTCTGTGAAGGCAAGAATTTACGTAAGTATTTATACCTCCTGTGTTTCCTTTTTGTTCTTTTATTCCATATTACATTTTCAGATGATTTTTCCAAACTGGTTTTGATCTCTCTGGTTTCGGCTCCCTTTCTGACAAAGTGGAGGATGTTTATCATAAAATATTCCCCTAAATGAGTGTAAGTAGCTGAGTTGGGTCTGAGGATTCTGCTAGTAATACCTGCTGAGGAAAAATAAAAAAACCCAAACACCACAATTGCAATAGGAATAAAAAGGGCGGAATGTTTCTTACAGACTGTACTACATTTGCTTTTGTATGATGTGGCATACTTTGCTTATCAGGGTTTGCTTTTTCATTGGGTGCATATGAAAGAGATTTCTGTCAGGCTCATTAGGAAGCTTTCTGTAGAGCAGAAATCTTTGTTAGCTGGAGTAATCTGCTTGTCTTTATATGGACGCTCTCTGCGTAAGCTTCTACGTTTGGCAAAACCTCTAGTTTATCTGCTGTCGACTATAGGTGAAAACTTTTTCCTGAAGACCTGGCCTGCAGAGAGAAAAAATTACAATAAACTATTACCCTTGAGAATTTGGGTCAGAGGAAAGTTACAACTTTGTAATATGCTCATGCACTTGGCAATGACAGCTGACTTCTTTACACTCTTAAGCTATTTTCTGTGTAGGCTTATTGAATTTGCCTTTGTTTTCTTTGAGTAGTGACCCATTAGACACCGTTACTACTTAAGAAATACTTTGAAAAATATTCTCTGCATATAATAACGGATACCTGTTTTGTGTTAAGATGCCCACTGAGTTTTGTGTCTCGGTATCCTTTCTCCAAAACTGTGATTGTCAAAGCTTGAATGTGTAGCCTACTCACTAATTGCCAAATAAAGTATTTCAAAAGTACGTTACGTTTTCTTTTAAACGAGGACGCTGAGAGCAGACCAATTTCTAGGAAAGTATTTTTTTAGGTAGTGGTGTGTTCCTCCTCCTTTTTTGCGTAAAAAAGGTACTCAGAAAGTATCAAAAGATGCTCTTAAGTAATAGCAAAGTACAAAAAGACTGTTGCATGTGGATAAATTTCAAATATTTGAGTCAATTTTGATTTGCTAAAGTCTCCTGGTGTGTGATTCAACTTATGTTTAAGCACTGTAAGGAAACAGTTAAACTGCACTTCCCCGTAATGCTGTTCATCTGAATATGAAGAAAGCTTTGTTTAGATGGATTTGGCCTGAGTGCTGGTAATTAGTGTAAATGTCAAGTAATAAGCCAAAGATTTTGTTTTAATTTTTATTTTTACAACTAAATATAGCATGGAGTTTGACTTATAAATTCCTTACTGGTTTTGAAAATATATTTTTTTCTTTATAGTGTGACTTTCCAGTACTTATTTTCAAAAATAGCTTTGTCTAAAAGATACCCTATACAGATTGGATCTTGCAAGCTAATACAATAACTGTAAATGTCCTTGGAAAAATTAGTAAGGCACAAACACAACAGTGTAAAATCAAACAAGACTGTACTTGGATGGATTTCTGATAAGCTGAGCAGTTGTCACGGTGAAGAGATGAAAGAGCATCAGTGGAAGTGTCTTCCTCTCTTTCCCTGCCATCATTTTTTGTGGTGGGATGGTAAGAAGTCAGTAGTAGGCAGTAGTTTAAAACTTTTGAATAAAAGTTATTCTGATCAGTTGTTAGTGATGAAGCTGTAGTAATTTTACTTGCCTGAATGGGGGGACTTTGAGGTCATAAATGATGCTACGCGAGTGCCTGGGAGACAAACTTGAACATACTACAAAATACAGCATTTTTTGCAGGCCTTCTAGCCAGAACCCCTGACAGTTTTTTCAGGGGCTTAAAAAGTCCCAGCTGATAAAATATGTGCAATGTTTAAATGTGCATGCTTTTCTGTGAATGGGAAACAAATATGTGTCTTAAGCTTGTCATTCACATCTGAATGACTTCTTTTTTCAATAGGTCTGGCTATTCAGTCCTTAATGTGGCCAGGTTTCCTTTCTTCACAGGCAAACAAAAGGTGTTTCTGGTTCATGTAAATTTATCAGTTACAACAGGTGTTAATTGAAGTCTCATTGTGTGTCTGTATGGCATATGGTTTTGGCACTTTAGAAGAAGCTAAATGGGTTTCTGGGCTTTCATCCCTGTTTCGTTTTTGAATCATCTTTTTTAAACACGGCTTGTAGAAGTGTATAGTAGAGCACAGCAGAATGAATTGGATAGTCTTTTTGTTAAAGTGGAATTTAGGATCGTATCTGAAGTAAAGAATTTCGTGTCTTTCAAGGTGGAAATGGATTACTAGAAACTAGCTTATGGCCTCTCCTTTGATACCAAGACAGTTGGTAGCCTTTGGATTTTTGACTTGAGGTATATGACATTAGTTTTGGAGGTGTTGGTTAAATTCCCTATAATGACCAAATTGTAATTGCTAATTCAATTTAGCTTTCCCAAGTAATCTTCTATAGTTTCTAGTATCACTGTGTGTATCTTGTGTGATAAAAATTTAAGATCAGATCTGTTGATAAGTATACCAGTGTTTGGATGTTACAGATAGTACAGAAAATATCTTGCCACAGTACTCTGCCAGGAGGCCAAAAAATCGAGTATATTTCCTTTTCCAGCCACATCTTAGCTTAGGCTATTTGATTCCATCAGTCAGAGGATGGTAAAGACTGCAGTTTTGCTTGACTCAAGATTCATTTTGTACATGCATATGTCTGCTCGTGTTTCAGCCTTCTGTGGTAGAACTTGCATGGCTGTGGTTTTAAAGTAACTGTGTTAATCTTAAGTATGAAGGACTACTGAGGACACAACACATCTCAAGTACATACATTTTTCTCATTCATGTGCTAACATTGGGATTATTTTATTATTACAGATATGCAAGCCTCTATTTCTGCTGTGCTATTGAAGATCAGGACAATGAACTAATAACTCTGGAAATAATTCATCGCTATGTAGAACTTCTTGACAAGTATTTTGGCAGTGTGAGTTAGTAATTTCTTTTTAACTTTTATAGATTTACAGTCTCTTTATATTACATCTTTTTGGTTTATGCCCACAGCACTTTTAAAAACCTTAATCAACAAGCTGTTGAAAAGGTGCATTGGCCAAACCAAGTCACTTGCTTGGCCAAACTAAACTGATGCTTGCCTATATCAGTGTTAAAATAAAAATTTAATTATTGATTTGAGAGATCTGATATTAATTATCTGTATTTATTTAATTTTGTAGTAGTGTCATTTGAGGTCGGATAATATCTTACCCCTAGCTTTGTGTGTAGGCACACGGCCTTCTCACTCCCTGGCACTGTTCTAGTGTGTAGACACTTCTTACATCTGCTTCTGAAGCAGACAGTTGGTTGTGAACTACCAGGAGCAGTACAGAAAGAAAAGACAGACATCTGCTTATCCACATAGCAAACACAAATAAATGAAGTAATCTACATTAGTGCCCTTAAACTGCTGCTCATCCTTTTGCCTTCCTAGCCCTTCTGACTAGGAGATGCACAGGTTGAATAAGAAATTTGGGGGTACTGTGTTTTCACATGTTTCTGTTAAGATTGCATGATCTGCCTTTGGATACTGCAGGTAAGAAAAGACCTTTTAAAGGCATATTCTCTTGCCTTACAAAGAGCTGGTTATGAATTGAACCCTTTTTAACACTGAAAATGTTTTTTCAAAGAAGTTGTTATAACCATTTTTAACTCAATAAAGATTTTTTTTCTTTTTTTTCCCCTCAAAGAATTGGTTCTTTTGTTGCCCCATTTCTTAAAGCATTATAGGCTGAGACTAACATCTTGATTTGGTGATGTTTGGTGAAACTGTGAACAAGTTTAAGCTTTGTGAGAGGGTATACCTCAACAGGTAGTATCCTCCCATTTTGCAGTAATGCTCAATGTTCTTTTTAGGTATGTGAACTTGATATAATCTTCAATTTTGAAAAAGCCTATTTCATTCTGGACGAGTTCCTTTTAGGAGGGGAGGTGCAGGAGACTTCTAAGAAAAATGTTCTCAAAGCCATTGAACAGGCAGATCTCTTACAGGAGGTAAGCAAACGCAACTTCTTTGGCCAAAGTATCAGCATGGTAGACTGATTTGAAAAAGCTTCTGTTTCTGAAAAAGCTTGTAGAAGGTGCATTTTAGCATGCTTAACATGTAATTTCTAGTTAGTTGTCCTAATTGTGCAATATGATGACATTAATGTTCTTTTCATTTTGTTTGGTGTGTGTATATTGTAACCTCCTGTGATTTTGAGTTTTGCTAGAAATGCAAGTGGCTGTTTTATGTGTGTATCTAGATAATTATGTTGCTTTAGCTTAGTTTTGTCCATGTGTCTCTCATTTCTTCTTTTTATTAATCAACCACTAGTTTTCTGTCATACCTGATGCATGTTCACTTCTTTGCTGTTTCATTGCTGAAATCCAGAAGCTAGACTCTCTTCTTTGAGACTCACTCAGGTATAGTTCTTATTCTAAAGACCTGCCTTTCTGCTGTAGGTTGCTTACTTTGGAACTTTTCTGTCTTTTACATTGACAAAGCAGTAGTAGTAGTGCTATAGAAACATACAGAATTAAGTATAAGAACACTTGGGGTTTTTTTCCACTTTGAATGCTTTTGTTGTTCATTACTAACTTTGAAGACAGACAGACTGCATCTCTACCATTTTTCTTTGGGAAATGTTTGATGGGAAAGTGTTCAATGGTAGAAAAGGTTAGTGTAATTTCCCCACATTTCTCCATCCTATGCTGTTTTGGGAGGGGGGGATTTGGGTATTTTATTTGTTGTGGGGTTTTCTGTTTTGTTTTTTTACTGAATTGCTGTAGTCTTGAGGTCAGCATTAAGGTCCTTGAATGTCTAGATGGAAGTCACAAAATTCTGGTGTGCTGGAAGAATCATCAGTCTTTTGTGCAAATCAGTGGAGTATGTGGTTTAACAGGGATGATGAACCTTATTTTTTTAAAATGTAGTGTGGTTTGGTGAGAAGATTCTATGTAAGTGTAAGCTCCTCTATTCTTTTCCCTTCATGTGAATCTTCAGTTTCTTATTTCGTCCTGTGAGCTAATTGCTTAATTCTCATATAAGCATTCTGTTGTTCCACTTGGTACGTTTTTTTTATGTGTTGAATGTGATGTTAATAGGATGGGGAAACACGAAATATTCTTTACCCTTGTAGTTGTGTTTGTAATCCTGTCAGAGTACAGACAGATCCACAGCACATTAAAGTTCTTGTCTGTCAACAGCTAGTTAATGTCACGAACAAGGTCAGACACACAGATTTGCTACCCTATTTTTCTAGGAAGGAAGTACATGCACGCACTTACTGCTTCTCTTCTGATGCAGTTTTTGTTGAGCATTTCTCTACTCTTAGAAGAAGGTGTCTTAGCCAGAAGTCCTGTTGCAGTTTACAAAGAGGTGGAAACAACAATCTCTTAATTATCTTAAAATATTTCGTTCTTCTTTATAAGAAAATTAACTAATCCGTTATTTGTTATTCCAGTCTGCCTCCTGCAAATGCACTTTTAGTTATGGATAAAATAAATTATTGCATTTTTCCCATTCTCACTGGTTTTGAACTTTATTTTCACCTTTTTCTTAGGGCTCTTCTAAAGCAAAAGAGCATTCTGCCTCTAGGACTTAATTACTGCTTTTCTATCCAAACAATTAGCATTTTTTTATTACACTTTGTATAATCTCAAGTTAGTTTTATGCAAAAGGAAGCTTCACTTTTTCAATGGGAGACTTTTTCCTTGCCCTGATAGCTTTACTCAGATTACCCTTCTTTTCCCCATCTCTGAAATTTTTTGTTCTGTCAGGGTTTATTAAATATTATTGTTTAAATTGGAATGTAGCAGTTCACAATGGCACTGCTCTAGTCATATGTTTGGTTTTTATATTTTTCATTCTTAGTTATATTATATTGACTGTTGATCAAGTATAAAATTACTCCATATATCTGATTTTTAGTTTGTAAAACCTGTAACAGTCTGAGCTCGTATTTAAATTGAGCTTCCAATAAAGTTGAACTCTTTCTCCAGAGGTTTGGGGTTTTTTTTATCAACTACTCCTATGTGCATGCTGAGTTTGATGAAGAGGGTTGTTAAAATAATAGTTTGTCACAACTGGAGACTTCCTGGTACTTTCAGTTAATTTCGGCTTCTCAAAATATTTCAAAGCTACCAGAATGAAGTGTGGTTTGATTCCAAATGCAAACCATTTCAAGTAGGGTTGTTGTGTGTTTGTTTTTGACCATGTCAGATTCTAATTATGCAGAACAAAAGGTCTTTTATTTGGCCTTGAATGCTGATATTGCGTAATTTAAAAATTATTAATCGGTGTTGAATACACATTAATAATTGGTAACGCTACATACATTAATGTATGAAGCACCTTAAAGATTAAAAGCCGTACAGAATACTTTCGCAAAGGAAAATCATTACAAATACATTAAGTGGCTATTTGCGTGACGCTAAAAGAAAATGTGCGGAGGCATAAATTGCTGAATAGTGGATTAGTTCTTAATAGCCTTGCCTACTTGTAGCGTCTGTGGCAGTTTTCCAGGATGTACTTTTGTTTCTGAGAACCTACTTCAGTTTGTCATTAAGTTCTTGATGCTGCACAGTCCTTTTAGGAACTGCTAGAGTTTGTGTGACTGAAACATACTAATTTCTTAAGCTATTTTCACCTTCACTTTCTTGTTAGCTCTGCAGTAACATGTTCAGTTCCAATATTCATTCCCTAACCTCTCCCATTTGTTACCACCTCGTAATTTACCAGTAGTCAGTCATCAGTATTGTCTATGATATCCATACAAATTATAGTAAAAACTAATTCATCCAGTGCTCCTGTGGTTCTTTTTAAATATATTGCTAGAAATACTTCTGTTTGGAAGAGTGCCATCACGTGTCTTGTTTGTTAATCTTATATCATGTTTGCTACAGAAATTTTGAATACCTAAACAGTGATTACAAAGATACATGTTTCTGAGAAGTTTTTTTGTTTTTTTGTTTGAAAATTGGAGGCTGCAGTATGTTACTGCATGAGTTATACACCCATGGTGTGTGGAACAGCTGAAAAATAATCCTGTGCATGGTTTCATGATAGTTAATTTTTTTAATGCAGGAAACTAGCAGTATGTTCTATGCAAAAGAGGGGCTCTGTTTTTTTATTATTTTTTTTCCCCCCCACTTAAAAGTCTAATTGCTGTGGTTTTATTTGATAGTCCAAGTAATTTAGTATGATGCTTGGAAATTCATGTCTATTTACTGTGAAAAAACACTAAAATCAAGGAGTTTAGAATTCTAATATATAAACAAGCAGTTATGCGTATATTTAAAAGCAAGTTTATACAGATTTGTTCATGCACATCTGAAGCAGAAGTTTCTAAATGCTGGCTTCAGGTGAAGATTCTTTTTGTGATTCATCCTGTATATTTTTTAATAAAAATATTGTGGAAATTATCCCCATTTTGTCCACCACTATTCTTTTGTAGGGCGTATATGCATTCTTTTAGTAGGTGATTGCAGAGCATCTCATACCTCCTTAAAAACACGAGTTTTTGAAGTATTGCAGTAAAAAGAACAGTGGGTCTGTTGACAAATCACACTTTTTGTTTCCATCGCTACTTAATGATCAAAAATCTGAAAGCTTTGTGAATGATTTTTCTTAGGCTCTTGCAGTTTGGCCTCAGGTAGCATTTACTAGTCGTTCCAGATGAAGAATAATATATGCACTATCAATTGACCTTATTTCCTCTGCTATTTCAAATCCTCACCTCATCCTGTATCCAAAAGGATGCTTAAGTTAATGTCAGCTGACTTGTACTAGATGCTTAGAGTTGCTGTGTATATTTAAGTTTTAGTTTTAGAATGAGCAGCTTAGACTGGAAATGAAAATTTGGTAAATTTCCTGTATACGCCATGAAAATTTTCTTACTGGAGGTGAAATGTGGTAATTAGAACATGTAGGTTTGAAGATGTGCATAATAGTAGAGAGATGGTGGTAGATTGCCCTTGAGATATGACAAAATAAAGGAACGTTAACATTAGCAATGGCAGAAGAAAATCCCTGATACTTAAGCCTAGAGTGGGTGGGAGTATAAGGATTTCTGTCTTGGTTTCAGGAACAGCCTGCCTAAGAACCTGTTTCATGCTAGTCTCCTGAGAAACTTACTGTAATTAATGCAATTAATTCAGTCTTCACTTAATGTTAGCTCTTAAATACTCACTACTGAAATAGACTGTCTTCCTAAGTTGGCAGTGACATTATTTGCCTTTGCTGTACCTGTATTCCTCTTAATGTGAAACAAGAATGAATAATGAAATTTTTATTGTAATAGAGATCTGACTGCCTTGATTGCCATCTGTTCTTCATATCTAACTTCTGACTTGGTCTCAGGTAGTCAGCTTGATTGGTTAGTTCAACATTGCAGTTAAGACACGTGTGTCTTGATTTTAGACACAGATAATGATCTGTAATTTCGTTTTAGAAGATACATATGGGAAGCTATGGAAGTTACCATGAATGAGAAAGCAGTATGTTGTTGTTAAGGATTATTTAAGGAATAGGAAATAGCTACAGTCTCTGAGAATTTGAACTCCCTTGCAGTTTGTAGATGACACAGTAAGTTGTGGTAGCACTTTGGTAGCTGATGCTTTTGTAAAATGCATTTCAGGCTTCAGCCCCTGAAGGATGTTGAGTATGTAGCAGGAAAGAGGTTATAATGCAGTTAAGTTGTTAGGTTAAGTATGGATTGTCTGCCTTGTCCACTTATATGGAACATATTGACTCTGATACATTGATCAAAAGTAAAGTGAGCTTGTTTATGGAATTGGTTCTAGACATTACTTAAGAACCTAGAATGAAAATATTTCAGATTTTATAGGTAGAACAAATACATCCAACTTGGGAATGTACATTCAACATACTTTCTTTTTGAGATATTGCATGTTTTCCTAATTCTGCTGCTCACATCTAGGTGTTCTTCAAGTAGCAGGTAAGGAAATGCATGTGTGCAGAAATGGCTCTTTGTAAGATACTCCAAGTGTGAAGTATCTGTCAGTATCGGGCCTAAAAAGTTGAACTGCTTGTTTTTAAAGACTGAATCACTGAATAACAAAATATTGTTAACCAAAAGCAAGATAAAGTGTATTGGGCCTAAGTGAAGAGGTCAGTTGCTTTTGTGTTTATTTCCCCTTGTCTTAGGAAAATTTGTGTATTTGTTGTTTTGTTATGATATGGTTATAAAAACTACTGTGCTCCTTAAATCAGTGTCTGTGAGATGAAGAGCAATGGGATACTGAAGTTACAAAGAGTGGTTGTGTGGAAACATTCAAGTTTAGAATTTCCAAGTGTGTCACTTAATTGCAAGCCTTGTCATGCTATCATCTGTTCTTTGTGTATGTTTTGTGTTAATTACTTTGCTCTTTGTAACATTATATTCAAGTAAAAAGTAGCTTAAAATCCTTACGGAACTGCATTTCTGAGTTCATGTATATATATGTTTATGACTATCTTGCTTGTCGTTGACTGTGCTATAGACTATTGAGTTTTATAGAATCACTGATAAAACCTGCCAACAGGTTTTTTAAGTCGTTG